CACGTTCTACAATAACAATAACGTTTGGTAAAAATGCTTGTTCGTCCACTGCATATGAATATAAAGAAGAAGAAGAAAAATCAGTTATATGTATAGGTGTAAAGCCTACTAAGGGCGACTCTTATAGATGGATGTTAATTTCTGTGTGCACGAGTTGTTAAAAATTAATAAAACACTTTTCTATTGCAAATTTTTAAATCATAATTTTCATGTAATGCAGTAGCATCAAAATTATTTTTCAAACTTAAATTTTCAGATCATTTTTTATGCTAATAAAAATGTTACATCGTTATATTTTAAAGAAAATGCTCAGGAAATAAGCATATTTCGTTTATATATGAGTTTCGAGTGCAAAAAAGATGATTGACTAATTCAAACTTTTCAATAGACATTTTATAAAGTCGTTCCGCTGTTAACAAGTGCATAAACAGTAATGATTGATTTAAATCTTTGGTGATAGGGTGAGTACTCACAGTATCAAAACTGCAAGAGATGGTTTTTTAGTTTTAAGAGAACTTTTAGAAGGAGCATGTCATGATGGCCAAAGCCGATTTTATGTGGTTAAATAAGTATGAGAATTAAGTGAATAACACAACTCTCTATCCTTTGTCAAATTTCGACACTTTCTACTAGTATATTACTAAAACAATGGATTTAAAAAGCGTATATTTTTAAAGCCTTTGGTTTTTATCGTGGCACCTTACACGTGAGGTTTGTCAAAATGAGGGGAGGCCAAGTAATAGCATAAGGAAGAACTGGCGAGTGAATTTTTCTGCCCCTTGTATGTGATTAAAAAAATGATGGCCTAAAATTCACTTTCCAGGTTAATTCTTTATAGCCTCTCCTCATAAAAAGTGCTTTAAAAACAATTGCGACGTTTTTGTGCGTTAAAAATAAAATAATATGCGTGTTTCGTTATGGTAAGTAGAGCTGTACACATGACTCATACTAGGTTCGTGAAACGATGTTGTGTGACCACATTTTAAACATGTGACTGTTTAATATTAAACATAAAATACACATTTCCACATGTATAGAGATGTTTAGCCTGTTGTGGAACCTATTTTTAACACCTGTGATTGTTTCCAACAGTATTAGGTTATGCAAAGGGGGGGGGGGGAGAAGTGTACTTTTTATTGTACATGGTTTTATTGTTATATTAGTACAAGATAAAAACCTCTTTTATATAGAACCAAAACAATTTTCTGATTCTGTGAAAATTTATTCATTCAGGGACTTGAGATTATAGCAATATTTTATAAACAAATGATTACTAGTGCAGTTCTAAGATAAAAAAAATCGCGTGAGACTAAAATATTAATTTAAGTTTTACTAGAAGTAAAAGTGTGACATGTTTTATCAATTTGATGTTAATATTTTCCTTTGTAGAAGTACAATATTGGTAAGAAGCTTAAATAATGTTCTAAGTAACACAAGTTCGCAGAATGATCGAGTTTACCAGCTTTAGAAATTAACAGGTTTTTAGATATGGGGTCTTTAGTGAGTTTTAATAATCACCTACACTATTTAACTCACCAAACGGATCCTCCTGGTTGAAAGAAGTTCATTGATTCCAAAAGTCACGTAAATCAGCTTTTAGGGTCAGTATCTGATCAAAACTTCTTAGCTTAATGCCTTTTTAAATTGATCGTTCTATTCAAAACCTTCACTTTGTCTTGTTTATTTTCCTTCCATTGAATAATAAAATGTTCTACTGGCGCTGCATCGTCACGTGCATTGTTTCACTGAATGTGTAATTTCGTGAGACCGAACAGACCAGGACAATTTGATATGGCGAAACCGTTCCACCTCCCTGCCCCAGAACATGTACTGCTTGTTCAACAGTCCAGTCTGCTCGCAAAACTGTTCCAACATTGGGGTACCCCGCAGGTAGTGCAGATTCTCGGAATTATTATTTTTTTTATATAATTCAACAGCGTAACTAAAGTTTAGATGGACGTGGTAAGGATTGTCGCTATTACCTTAATTAATTAATTAGGAAGCACATTTTCACAATACTTTGACCAATATAAATACTATCTTAAACTTTCCGATTCAAAAATATCATAAAAGGCACAATCAACAACATCCCCAAATTATCACCAATTATGATGTTGGAACAGAAATCGAGCAAACTGGGTCTTCATGAAAAGGCTAAAACCTGCTCCAAGCGGAATCTGTGCGATCTTGTTCACCTTACTGAATCTTTTAAGTTGAGTAAGTAGACGTTGTATTGTAGTGTAGTTTATTGTTACTTTTTTTTTTATTATTTTACAAATTTCGAGTCCTCACGGCGGACACAGCAGATAGCCCAAAGCAGCTTTGCTCTAAAACAAGCAACAACAAACCCTGTAGTTAGTTTTTTCAAGAAAAAGAAACAAAGGGAAATATATCAATTATTTCTGTATAATCTCTCAAGAAAGGTAATTTTTGCGCACTGCAGCGATTACTTTTGGACTTCAGCAGGTCATTTAGAATGATTTACGAAATCGAGTTTTTGGTAATAAATCTGATACAAATATTTATATATATAAAAATGGATAAATATTAAAGGTACATTATAGTTACGAATGCAAAAATATTATACATGAGAAAATATCTATTGTAGTTATAATTGTAAAAATATACTTGAGAAAATATCTTTTATAGTTATGAATGTAAAAATAGTATACATGAGAAAGTATATATTCTAGTTATAATTGTAAAAATATACTTGAGAAAATATCTTTTATAGTTATGAATGTAAAAATATTATACATGAGAAAGTATATATTCTAGTTATAATTGTAAAAATATACTTGAGAAAATATCTTTTATAGTTATGAATGTAACAATATTATACATGAGAAAATATCTATTGTAGTTACGATTGTAAAAGAAATGTATATTTGGGTTAACATTGATCACAAGATATTTGGTTTCAATATACATCTGCTGCAGCTTGTATTTAAAACATTTCTTGAGTGAGTGCTATCCATCAGGCTTAAATAATAAATATACTTCACTCGGGTAATTAGAGGAAATGTCCTTATTACTCAACGAACCATGTTAATAACAACAGATTTCAATAATCAAATTGCTACATAAAATTCTTTAAAAACTTCTTCTGGGTATGATACTGCAAAAATATTGGAAACAAAACCTTGACCTGTAAAACGTTGGGCCTACCTGGAGGTCAAAACCTCTGTAATTTACAAAATATGTAATTTAATGTTGTCCATTAATTTCTGCAATAAAACTCATTACTCTGAGATATTATTTATGTTTGAACAAGTTTCAAGTAGTATGTATTGCAAAAAAGCCTGTTTTAACAAACAATGTTGCAATGCAACTAAAAAAAGAATTCAGCAGTAATAACCTTCTTTTATAACAACACTGACAGTGCACAAATTGGTGAAATGAACTAAAATTACTTTTACTAATTTTCTTATTTTGAATTCCTTTTTGAACTGTTACATTAACATATAGCATTACATAAAATAACTATTTGTCATAATTATTCATGTGCTCCACTAATGTAAATTTGAAACTATGTTTATGTATAAAACGTTCAGAGTAACACAGCCTTTCTGTAGTTCATGTGTCATACATTCTCAACTGTGGTGAATTCAAAGTGTATGGTTGTCAACCTCATTTTCTTACAAAAATTTTTTATAACACTAAGAATGGATTTTCAGTAATGATACCCTAATCTTGTTTTTTTTCTTCTCAACCACTATTCTTTGTTATTTTTTAAAATCAAATAGATAAAGACATCTAGGATTTTTTTACACCGACAAAGGTTGTCTTGAACAACATAAAAGCTTCTATTATCTAGCTTTCTCATCAGTATTGTATGATTAGTAAAAAGAAACAAACAAACAATATTTTGGTACAGCACTAAAGAGTTTGCTGTAGTAATCGTTTTTCAACTTGGATGAAAGTATTTTATTGAATATTTACATTTTCTGCAAAATAAAAATGATAATAATTTAACATTTCATAAAGAATAACTTTTATACTAATTTAATTATTACAGGAATTACATAAGATTTGATTATGTACACCTGTGAAAGGATTGATTAAAACATGCATGAACCTTCATATAAATACTGAAATGTAATTACATTGGCACTACATTAGTAATTTTTTAAAAAAGGAATTGAATTACTAGTTATTTTAAATGATTAAAAACACAAAGATGATAAATTATTAAAATTTTGTTAAGTTCTTAAACTACCCAGTACTCTCAAAATATTCATAGGTACTCTTAACTGACCACAAGAGGGCAAGAAGTTACCAGCTATTAGCTGAAATGGGTGTTTTTTGATTTATCAAAGTATATATTCACAACTTTTAAAATTATGCTCTTTTGCATGAACATTAAAAGTGCTCCATCACCTGCCTAACAGTCTATAAGTTACTGGGTTTATACAGAAAAATGTATTTAGATTTTGCAAATTAAATAATATATACTTATGTAATGGACACTCCAGAATGTCTTTAGTAAAACTTTTAAAATAATATCATTGGACTGAGGACATAGATGAGTTTCATGTTAGTTATTATAACAAATTTCAGAACGAACATAGATGACACCCGAATTTCTCACAGATTAGCACTTAACTGAGTTTTAAAGATGGGCTCAATTTTTCAACTTATGTTACTTATTCAAAACATGAAAAAATACATGTAACAGTTCTGATAACTAAAAGATAAAATTTTTAAAGCAAAATGAAACTCAAATGCATATTTACCTCTACATGGAAAGAATATTAAATAGTTCAACTGATTGCTGGAATAGATCTTTCTACGTCATTAAGCTTTTGTTTTTGAATTATGATATGTTGACATAAGATATTCTTCCCATAATTACACGTACTTACATATATAGCAGAGTACTGCTATACACCATGTGTTCTCCAAGTTAGTTTTACAAAGGAAATGGAATATATCAGAGGTGAGTTACTTGGCTTTACTTTAAAGGATAAATCTTTATTTTACATTTGCTGATTTACCTCTGATGTTATCTCACTATATGAACAAAAAAAGTCCAGAAGTAGACACATTAGAGAAAAACAGTTTAAACTCATATAGGGCATGCAGTGAAGAGTTTAAGAAAGAGACCACAGCACAACAGACTTCCATCTCAAGGTTCAAAGGCAAGATTTTACTTCACTAAGAATTGACTGTCTAGTAAATTTGTTGGGTAGTAGCATTTCAGTCAAGAACCAAAGAACACAATCCTACAAAACAAAGACAAATAACCCACAGGTACAAATTTGCACACAGATGATATAACACCCGGAATACTTAGAATAATTTCACTGGGAAACTGAAACAAACAAAGACATACCTAAAACAACACTAAGTAGGAAAATCAGTGTCGTGTAGCAATTAGAAATCTACATGTCTAAGTACAGATGTACTCTACTTCACACTAGAGAAAGCTAATGTCTTTTATGGAATAAACTTTCATGATGTTTTTCCACTGGATGCAAATTTCCATTTGTATCTGAGTCTTCTGTGTGAAGTTCATCATTTTCTGGCTTGAGTGTGATGTGGCCTCTTTGTAATTTGTGTTTTTTGTTTACTTGAGTTCTTTCTGGAAAATTTTGGGACTGGTCAATTGGTAATCCCAATTTAGATGGGATCACTGCAGCACAGACAGCTTTAAAATGAGATGTTCTGTTTCTGAATTCCTGTACAAATATTAAACTTTGGTAGTAGAAGATATTCAATTAACACAATTAAAACAACACTTTATCAAATTCAAACTCTATACATATATAGGAAGAGGAAATAACTGAATTCAAAAGTAAAATGAATATCATAAGCTATATTTCTTAAACCTACATAAGTAGAGAATAAAGCAAATCTCTACAGACTGAAGTACTGCATTTACATTTTATAGGGTATTTGGATAAAGAAATTAGGCTTACAAGGAAATAGTTACATAGAGGATTGGTAGAAATTACTTAGAATGAAAGGGAAAGTTTTAACTTATAATATGTCATCCAATATATTTGTAACATTAATAACATACATAAAAGTGTAAGACTACTACACATGTTTACCTCCTGGAACACTTTCGTGAGAAAGCCTTGAAACTCTTACTCAAACCACAAAATAGACTTGGATTTTTGTGTATGTGTGTGTAACCATCATTACAGACAACACAAAAGTGTTATCACCTAGTGAACATGATATTAGAGTATTTCTTACCTCTGTGTCAAGTTGTATGTGTATTTCAATGTTGATTTTTCACCTGTTTTATGGCTACTGTTTAACTTTTAGCTTGTTTTCCTTTTACTTTTTATAGTGTTTTACTTATTTTTGCCATTTTATTGGTTGTTTGGTGCAGATAGCCACGTTCTTTTGCTCTAATAAACTCTAAACAACCAACCAAACAACATAAATTTCACATGTGGCTTTCTGATGTTTTGAAACTAAATGAACATCCTGCATTTATACACACACATACACAATAAAATAAGCTGTGAAAAAAACAAAACTAATATAAAACCACAGATATATTTTATGTTCAAACTGATGAAAGTAACTCCAATCAATATTCAAGTACAAGGAATCCTTGAAAAAAAAAATTAATATATTTCAATGTAAAAGCTACCCTACCATAGTGTAATCCACACAAAGATAAGTCAAATACATAAAACAATACTAAAATCTCGTTACAATTTATTGTCTGTATTTTGCTATAAGTATTAGTTGTTGGTAATACATACAGTAAAAATGATGGAATTTGGAAGGTTTTTTTCAGACTAGCGTTTTCCAGTTCAGTATCTGAAATCTTCTATGATTTCAACAAACTAATATGAAATTACATTTTATGCCCTTAACCAGATCAAGAAACAAAAGTGTGCAAATATTAATAATGTATGAACAAGAAATTATTTTTCAAGAAACCATCCATTCCCTTCTTTAACTCCTGTAAAGTACCAATCTTCACGACTGCCGACATCAACTCAATCTACAGGCCAATCCCCATTTATAAAAATAAAATAGCTGTCTTAAATAAAGTCTATTGTTTAAAACAAAAACTGATGAGAAGAAGCCACATAAAAAAATGTTGAGTTAGAAAAAATTGGTAATAATAGAAAAATTAGTAATATAGAAGGTGATTTACTCAACAGTATTTTGAGCCTAAGCCCTTCATCAGGTGATATTTAAGTAGTTGCTAACAAAAGTGCATTAGAATGATATATAAAAAATAACTATAATATATATACATGGTTATGGCATGCTTGATAGCCTAAGTGTTGTTGTAGTTAATGAAATAAAGAATACGTTAGAAGTACAAAGATAAAGTCTTATTTAAAAATACATAAAAATATTAAATATCATTTTCAAATATAAATAACGAATAAATTACAATAAAAATTAAAGAACTAGGTACATTAAGATAACAATGAAGAATTATTACATAAATTAAAAATTTTCTTTTAATCCAGATGGAGAAAGGGTTCCTAAATTGTAAATCAGACACTATTCTATGCAATTTACATAGGCAGTAATCAACAGTGCAGATCTCAGAATGACTATTTTAAGGTCTGACAAATCATGTCTGTTGTCACAACAGTGTTTTGGGACTGGAATATCAAGATTTCTATTGATTACATGTCTTCTGTGTTCATAAAATCTACTGTCAATTTTGGAACTAGTCTCACCAAAGTATAGTTGGTTATAAAGAATGTAAATAACACAGTATATGATGGGTTCTAATATGCAGGTGGAACACTTATTAATGTGCAAATAACTTATGACGAACAACTAAGGTTCAGTTGTCCATGTGTTGGCATGTTACACAGCATGATCTGTTACAAGGGAAGAAGCTGAACCAGAGCCTAGCCTATCTTATCCAAATCTTAAACTTGTGTTCTCATCCTACTGTCTTTAGGATATAGCACAGAGAAATCCTTTCAATCCTTTGCATAATCTTGTAAATAAATTTTAATAACACCATCTCTTATGCTTCTTTTCTCAAGAGAAAACAAGTTAATAGATCTTAACCTATCTCTATAAGATAAACTTTCCATCCCTGGAATCATTCTAGTAACCCTCCACTAAACCCTTTCCAATAAGTTCATATTCTTTCTTAAATAAGGAGATCAAAACTGTACACAATATTCCAAGTGAGACCAAATTATAAACTAGTGATTTGTACAGAGAAACAATTACCTCTCTTCTGATTTGTAATCTATGTCTATAAATTCATCCTAAAAGTCTATTAGCTTTACAACTAGCAAGAGAGCACTACCTCAAATAACTTATTCCACCAATATGCAAATATGTTTTTCTTCTGTAATACTATTGAATGGACACCATTCTATACAAAATGTGTGATCCAAATTATGATAACCTGGATATATAATTTAGCACTTACAATAATTAAAGGTCATCCATCAAATTAATTGTCCAACTTACCAATTAATTCAAGTCATTCTGTACGACCTCAGTTAAAAAATAAGCAAGAGTTTAATAACTTCTTAAATTTATGGTCCTTTTTTACTCATATTTTTATATCCTTTGTAAGTGAATTAGGTTTGATCTTCTGTTATTCTTTTCATGAATATACTTTGAATTAAAAGCAATTTATTTAAAAATTTTCCCAAATTTGTACCACATCCTCTTTCAACTCATTATCCCAGTTCACAAATGATGAACCTTCTCCCACCATCAAAACTGGTTTTGTGAAAATTAGGAACTAATATCTTAACATATAGCAAAACGTCAACCTAATTTTGCAATAAACACTCTTCACCAAACATTCCCCCATGTAAAGTCTTGCAATCATGTCCTCATTAGTGGTTAACTACTTTAAATCTAAAATGTCATCTCCTCTAGTTGTCATTTTTACTATTTGGTATAGAAAACCATCTTGTATCACCTCGAGAAACCATCCTCTCCCTCATTATTTGACTCCATACAATCCCAATCAATTTTTCTAAAATTAAAGTCTACGATAGTTATTACATCACTATTTTTATTAGTAACAACCATGATCTCATTATACAATTTTTCATTGATATCATCTGTCTGATCAGGAGTCATTTAACAATTAACAATTAAAATGTTTTTACCATTGAAACCTCTTAACAGTAAATATCTCAGAAAGGCACTTTTTGTTTCTCACCTCAAGATCTTGTTTTTCATCTATTTCTTGAAGATAACCGTAAGCTCTTGTGAGAATTTCCAAAGCCTTGGCATGGAAAATTAGTTCAATATTTACAAATTCAGTGAACATTATCTGTAAAATCAGTAACAAAAATATCTGTTTAAATATTTCAAAACAACTCAAAAGTTTTAGGAAATCTTTATAAGCCTAAATCCTCCTCCATGAAAGTTATAACAAGTTGAATGTCTTTATTCTATAGAGCGCAAAACTGTGATTTTAATGTAAAAGAAAATATTTTCAAACTTTCATTAAATTGTAATTTTCTAAATGAAACTAAATCTTTTTATCTAAAACAGTACAGATAAAACAATATATCAATTAATACAAGAAAATAAGCACAAATACTGATAAACATTTCTATTTACCTGAATCAAAATACATATAAACCCAATGTAAAAAAATTATTAAAAACTGTTTTTATAAAACATCACAAATTTTTTAAGCTTAAAATATTTTCTCTACTATTTAATAAACTATTTAATGGCCTAATATAATTTTAATCTTACCTGAATTGTTGCTATCTTACTTATCATATGCATGCCACACACAATCCTATTAAGTAAGTATGCAAGGGAAAGAGGATATATAAATATATATGTGTGCACAAGAAAAATTATTAAAAGCATGTGGAAAAATGTGATGTCATTATAATTCTAATTGGTTGTCTATTTAAGATAAAAAAAAAGGTCTACAAAAGTAACTATAAATACTGATACAAATGTACTAAATAGATGGTATTACCTTAATATCAGAAATTTTCCTGTATTCAAAGTCATTTACTTGTTCTTCTAGAACTTTGTGTAACCAGTTACAATCAAAAGTTCCTCTCCAATATTCATTTTCTACCTTTAAAAATTAACATTAATAAAAAGTAATAGTCCATAATACTATACTTTAGAGTGGGAGTAACTTCTCACATCAAGAAGAACTAAGCATGTTAAGATTTCATTGCAGAAGTTTCATTGCTTATGATCAGTTAATTATTTTAAAAACTTGTTTTTCAGGTTAGTTTTAAAAAATATGATGTTTTGGTTATTTCACACTGAAACTTATCTAAACTCTTTTTTTTTCTAATAATCAGCAAAATTTATTATTTTATATTTTGTTTCCTCTCAAAAAATTATTGATTTACTTTAGTTTTAAAACAAGAGTGAAATATTTCTTGATATATTTGCCACAAAAATGAAAACTATTTATCTAACTACAGAGAAACAGGACACTATATACTTAGTTTTCCAGTATGTCTTTACTGTATTGGAATATATGAAGCAAATATACTCAAAGTCAACATATTTTCTGAAACAGAACTTTTACAAATTAATTAAAAGGATAAAAGGATACCTATTACCTTCTATACTATACTAGCAAACCTGTGGGCCTATGGCCCACATTTACAGAGCCTCTATAATGCAAGCTTAATGCTTGAACTACTATTTTGGACTTTTTTAGTTTAATAATCATTGCCACTATAATGAAAATTAACATTTTCCTAAACTGAAAATATATTTCCGATAGATACTTATCTCCTCTCACAAAACGTTTTCTCAATTAGTACTGCCCTTTATTGGTGCAAATTTTTTGTTTGCCACTAGCAATTGTGATCCATTAAGGTTGACCACAGACTCTGGAATCCCACATTTCCAGGAGTGAGTCTATTCTCTGAGAGTGTAAATATGCTTCTACCTGGCGATGGTAGGTGAAAGCATGTTGTTCTGACAAATGTTGTGGACAAGGCATAGTTGTCACTTCACGTAACTGAGCAATAAACCTCCCTGCATGAACCACAATATAAGGGGATGGAGGGAGAACTAAGTACTCACCCTCAGACCTTTTCACCATCAAGGATGGTGCAAACTCAAAAGCAACTGAGGAAAGACCCAAAACATCATGCACTCAGTGGCCTCATGGGAAGCTACCGGAAAAAGCAAATCTAAATTCTTTACAGAATGTCTAGGATTGCCCACAAAGGCAGTCTCAGAGAGTGCCCCGGAGAAACACCATTGGACTGAATGTACGTCTCCAGCTTACTACAGATAAGATCATGGACAGCTTCAACTGAGAGTGACCCTAGATATCAGAGCTGGGATAGGAGAGACCTATATCGCCAAGGGCAATTAAGTGAGGAATAAAAGGCTGGAGCAAGTGATAAAAAATCAGATCAGTTCTTAGATGGTCAAAAATAAAGAAACCGTAGCATCGTGTGAGTGGAGGTTAAATATGTTTTGGAAAACGTAAACACTTAAAAGATATTTAAGTATAGTAGAGACACTTAAAAATAAATTATTTTAGATACATAAATATAACAAAAAATTACTTCAGCTAAATAGTGATTTTGACTTCATGTTGATCAACTTTATCTGATGTCTTGAGGAGTGAAACTGATCATACTTACCACAATATCCAGCAAGGGTTTTAATAGAAGAAAACATAGCAATACACATGTGAACATACTATGGCACTGAAATTAATTCACAACTACAACTCCAGAGCAATAAACAGTATACCTACCAAAGACTGAAGTGTTGTTAGGGAACAAATTTGACATGATCAAGAAGGGTGAGTGAATGATACAATTAGATTTATTATATGATAAAACAAGTTATAAATTGTATATATATGCACAAGAATAGAGCGTAATATGTGGTTTTCAATTTTGTATAAATTATATAGAGCTATTTCTTTATTTGGTAAAAAATGGACAATATTTTAATTTTCACAAACGTTTTTAACAGTTCAATATGCTCTATCAAACAGTCTGTTATTTCTTTGTAACACATTGTAAAAAAAAAAAAACAATTTAACCAATTTCTCATCAATGCTACTATATTTGAGCAATAATGATTTTATCACTTTTTGGCATTCATGAGTTTGACAACTCCAATAGCATGTCATTTTGATAAATATTCAGTAAAATCTGCTGCAAATACTAAACATAAAACTATTTGGCTTTAATGCACAATAAAAATTATATTTATTGTCAGACCTAATCTTCATCAAAAAAAGATACAGTTCCATGCGAGATGGTTGGTGTGTGTTTCTGAATTTTCTCTAGCTGATGTTTTCGATTAACTTCTTTACTTTTTATAGATACATTAGCTCTTATATTATCCTGAAAATGAAGTGTAATGGATAAATCTATTGCAGAATTATGAAAAAGATTCATTCCCCCCCAAATTTTTATAAGATCATAAGATAAAATTACAGTGTAAAGTAACTTTCTTGCCTTATGGTAAATTACAAATGTATGTTTACAGCTTAGATAGTTCTTTAGCAGAAATACTTGAATCATACATACTTAAATAATTATTTCTTGTAAGAATAACTATAATTTTTTTTTTATTTTCAAGTTTACAAAATATTCATACAAGTGGAATTTTTTTTTAAATGGTGATTACTGCCACCTGTAATATGTTGAATGCTAAAATCTGTATCTTATGTGTATACATATAATTACATTAACAACACCAAATTTTGGCTTAACCCTGCATAAAAATTGGATATATTGATAGCTTTAAATGATAGAACTAGTAAGAAACCCTGATTGAATTTATATACTTTCATTCTCCATACATGCATTGAATCAAAGTGATAATTCAGATTTGTTTACAACTAATGAAAAATTTAACTATTGAATCAAACCTAAAATTATTTTGAAAATTAAGGTTTAGCCCATAAAAAAGGTACACAATCACACTGAACACAACAGAAAATTTAAGCACAAAACAAAGTTAAAGCAATTAAAAATATCAATTAACTATCATTTTAGAACTCACTAACTGACATTTTAATGCTATCAGATTTTAATAAATACTTCATTAAGCATACTGAAATATATATAAGTATTTTGTTAGTTATATTTAGATATGTTTCACATCGTTTTACATACCTTATCATACTTAGTCATGAAAAGGAAATTGATTCATGCCTACTCTTAGACATTTGAATTTATTCAAAATGATATATTTAATGTGTAATAGGTATACATGTGTTTTCAGGTCTGATCTTAAAACCAATTTCTTCATTAATAAAAGCTTTAAACAAAAAATAATATTAATCTTTCCACCTACAAACAAATTCAGTTAAAGAACAGCTATAGGGGCTTCTTCCTTTAACTTTACACTTTTCTTTAAATTGAGTTTTTCTTGAAAATTTTGAAAAAAGTTACGAATTCACTCATTGTACTTGAAAAACAATAGACATATAATTAAAATCAAGGCCTGAAAGTGTGATATAGACAAGTGTATTTTCTGAAACCTCTAACGAAAATGTTAATAAACTCAGAAAAGTGTTTGAAAAGAATGGTTTATAAATAAACTTAGAAATATGAGGTAAGACAACAAAAAATCTATATATATAATTTTATAAACTATCTGTACTCATTAATTAAATTAAATTACAAATATTTACAAGTGAATAAAAACTATAATAGTTCTATTTGTTCTAATGTTTTATTTTTTCCTGTGCACTTACTCTAGCATGTTTACAAATTGTTCCATATGCTGATAGATGTTCAATGACTTTGGCTTCAAGACGTTTCACCTACAATACAATAAAAACCAGTTACTAAAGTTAACATTTTCTTACACTAAAAACATATTTCTGATACATGCTTTCCTTTCTCACATAATAGTTTCCACGATTTGTGCTTCCCTCTGTATGTGCAATTTTTGCTTACCTCTAGCCTTGAGGTTTCCATCTAAGATCACATGTCTACACATGATACAGCTACATTGTAGCATGCAAATGAGCATGCAACAACCTTCAACCAATAAAAGTATGACACACCCTCGAAGCACAGCTGACCCCCACACCCTCTACACTGTAGAGCCCAATCATCACTTTGAGATTAGGCAAAAAAGATGCACCATAATTGGGGAGGATGAGTGGGAAATGTGAGTGGAGCTAATTATCTATTGGAAATACATTTTCAGTGTTGGAAAATGTTAACTTCCAATATGATACCTTACTTCCATGTGATACCTTACCTAGATGTGTACCCTTCGGAAGGCACCTGAAGAGAACCCATGAAATGCGATACCCTAATTATTAGATCACCCTCGTGGGAAGCCACACCTCCTTTGTACCAGGTATACTCTTCGCTTTCTGTGAAGATATTTGTCACTAATTCAGGCAGAAAGGACATCCAACAGTAACTGGATGTGCCAGATGGTGTTGAGAGGCTTAGACATGTCAAACCATATTTGGTGGGTCAACTCCAGTCCAAAACTAGGCAGCATCAAGTATTTGTCTTCCTGTCTGAGGTACAAAGAGGGTCCCTACCAATTTCCCCTCAAGACCAGGAAGCAGGAGGGACATGCAACTTCAGTTCCAACATCCTAGGAAGGGCACGTGCTCAGACCCAGTACACAACTAATACTACGTTACCTTGGAAACTGACATCTGGACAACGGTTGGAAGGGGGAATGCAAACATGGTTTAAACCAAGTGGCATCAGGAATTTTTTGTCTGGTCTGTGGTAGAAGGAGGGGCCCTGTCAACAGCATGTGTGAGGAGTTACGTTAGCTGGTTCTATAGCAATCCAAAACCAGACCACCCACGAACCGATATCCAGGTGGTGTTAGGATGTGGAAAAGCCAGCTGGAGGGGTGAATTGCATGTGGTGGATTCATCCAGTCCAAAACTAGGCAGCATCAAGTCTGCGGTAAAAGAAGAGTACTCACTATCTACACCAAAAGAACACCATTGCCCTACTCTAGACTAAATGGAAGTGTTCACAGTTAGGAGAAAGCCTCCATGGTCCACCACCCCAGCAACTAGAAACTGGGAAGTGGCAAGGAGGTGGAAAAACAATGCAGTGGGGTGTATGGAGAAACACAACACCTTAAGACAGTGCAATGAGTGAACATGAAATCCTATTCTGAAAATCATGCCAGTCCTAGATAATTCAACTAATACCAGAAGGATGGGCAGTGATCCCAACACTGCTTTACTCATGATAATCCATGAATCTGTACTGTCTGGAACAGACCTTTTTTATGAGGAAATATTGTGAGAGGAACCCTTTAGCAGTCTTATGGAATACCCCATCTCATCAGTGAATGTTAAATACCTGTAAAGGTCACATGGTGTGAATTTAAAGTTAAGTATACCCAGACAGACACCACTTACCACAGAGCGGGATTCAGGGATGTAGAAAAAGGCCACTGTAAAGGTAAAATAGGCTCTGAATGGATAAGTTCTAGATTTTTATCTAAGTTTCTTTTAACCAGAACCATCATCTCACCCTCTCCCAGGCTGCTTACTTCTGTTGTCCATTAGAGGAGATCATGCAGGCTGGCATGTGGACTACACCTAAATGTTTGTCACGCATTATCTGCCTCATTTGGCTATCTCTTTTTTGTCTGGATATTGTTTGCCATTCTCCACACCCTTTTTCATCTGGCTTAAATTTCTTTGACTGAAGATTCTCATCACATCTTCCTAAATCAATGTAGTTAACTGGTAAGGATTACAGGAGAGAGATCATGCTTAGAGGAGAAATTCAAGGGGATAAAAAGTCAGAAAATGGAACTATGAATAGGAGCTGTGCAGGTGATATAACAATGGAAAGCTTGCAAGGGACAAAGAAGATGATCGGGATCAGAACGGAAATATAGAGATAAGCTATAGATAGAAGGGAAATAGGTGTGAATGTGCTGTTTCCCTCATTGGCTGCAGATATTTTGGGGAAAAAAAGCATGATCGGGATAAAGAAGAACATATGAACATTAACTCTTTCAGAATGGGCTCAGTTCCTGGGACTGACCTCGTAACCATTTTGTGCTTGTTATATTTTTCATGATATAACTTTTATATTAGTAACCATATGTTCACGAAATTTGGCAGATTATCAGTAAATATTATAAGGCTTTTGTACACAAAATATTAGATTTTTTTATTAAACTTATTTTCTTTAAAACATAGAACAATAAATAAATAAGTATAGCAAACAATTATATCTTTGTGCTGATTTGCTGCTTGCCATAGGTTGCTAAGCCTTATAAAATTTTGCATGTGGAGGATGTGAAATGAAATAATTTTTTTAGGTTTATATATATATATATACATCTGAAATAATCAAAAAAACATAAATTACTGTATCAATCCATAAAATTCAACTATAATTTACCAAGCTTAGTAATTAAGCTGTATTTGGGTCTAAAACATGAAATTTTTGAGTAGACTAAAGACCCAACTTACCAACTTGAAGTCTTGTATCGAAAGAACGAGTTGATGTCATAATACTTGAAAATGGCTGAGAAAGCCACTAAGGAGACATTCTAAGCTTTTGATTAGTTATTCACATGTCATAGACAGAAGTAATTGTATATTAGGATGTGTTTCCAAAAATGGAAAGAGGGAGGAGGCACTGTGTTTGATTCAGTACATGAGCAATATCTCAGCAAACAGTAAAGATACGATGTTCTCATTTTATATTCTAGCTCGTCAATATTGGTAATTTGAGTTCCTAATTCATAAGGGAAAACTACACACTTTGTATTTGGTCATCACAAACATTTAATTTGAACCAGTGCTGTAATCAACATACCATGTGACACACAAAAATCGATGTTTAGGTGTGTTTTTTAATATTTATTTTTAAATTAAGAAATTGAATAATGTATAATACTGAAACTTGAATTACAGTCTACAATTTGATACCAAACTTATTGACATAAATTCATAAAATAGTAGTTCAATAAAATTTTGAATGCGAGTCAACAAATGTGAAGACATGGCCTTTGTCCTGTGTGGAGATGGTCAATAAAGAATGTGGGAAACATCAATAGCAAACACACCTGACCTATGACATTCACATGCAAAAAGGATTAAAAAAATATATCTTGAGGGAGAGATTTGGTACAAAGAACAAGAGGCTAAAAGCTCAAAGAAAAAAAAAGGTAATGACATGAAGGACAACATGGAGATTCCAATTTGGTAGGACATCTGGATCGGGAGGTTGAAGAAGGGAAAGGATCAGGACAGGAAAGAAAGGACGGGAGAGAAAAATATATGGTGGAAATGGGAAATAAAGTATTAGATAAAGCTGCTCTATAACCCACAAAGGTAGAAATGGAAAAATACACTATCAAAGAGCCAAGTAAAAAAGTCAGGAAGGTGGGGAACATTTAGTTAGGAAGGGGAGAAGCTGTGATGCAAAGAACAGCAATGGAAAATGTGCCATTCAAATAGTTAAACAAGAAAATAAGAAGAATAAACAAAAGAAGAAATATAGAAGGCTACCACACAGAGTCCAGAGCATCTTGCAAGGGACCGGGCAAAACCTACGCATGAAAACTGAGTGTGGATATGACTGGATGAGCAAGGAATGAATGAAATTGCTGGAGAAGGGATTGGGAAAGAGGAAGCAGCATGGGAGGAGATGACTGAAGATGGTTCAAGAGTGTCTGTGCTGGTCAAATGGAGAGATGAAAAAAACGTGACATGGAGTGCTTTGAATAAGAGAGAGGATGTGGGGGAGAAGGAGGATAGAAGGGTAGGCATACAGATAAAGATTGGAACAATCCTGAATGAATGCATCCACAGCAAGAGCTGAAGGATACAGAACAAAGGTAGTTTGGTATTGAGGTGAGTGGCAAAGACATTCAGAAGGGGGTACCCAGCTGGGAGCATAACAAATGAACACCTGAGAAACAAGAGATCGCTCTATTGGTAGAATCTTGTCAGAGCAAGATTCAGAGCACCTGGGATGTGACAGGCAATAAGCCAAACATGTTGAGATTGGGCCCAGAAAAGAGATCCAGTGTTTGAAAGCAAAGTGAATGAAACTGGATGCCCCCTTGATGGTTGATATAAGAGACAATTGTCAAACTGTCAGAATGGATCATGACAAAGTGCCCCGTACCACAAGAAAAAAAATGATCCAACACACAATAAACACACAGAAACTCCAAAAGATTGATGTGTTGAGATCATTCAACCACAGACCAATGACCAGCAATCTCTTTAGAACCTAAATATTCCCCCAACCTGTTAGAGCTGAAGCTTGAGACGAGCAGAAGGAAGAGGAATGCCAACCAAGATGTTGTCTCTGTCGAGCCACCAGGCAAAGTCAACTTGTGGGATGGTAGGAAGAAAAATGGATTAGTCCAAGGTATCCTGAGTAAGGTTCCAATGATCCTGCAACACCCATTAAAGACAAAGCAGGTGTGCCTGACCCCAATGGACACGGGATTCCATGGAAACCTATGCAGATCTCCAAAAGAGAAAGAACCTCACACTCAGAGAGAGAAGTCCTGGCTTTAGAATATCAATCTTTCCATATCCTTCAAACACAGAGGAAGAGGTTAGGCTCTGCTGAGGTAGGAGTTGAAAAACAACCTAAGATAAATAAGATACTGAGTGGGGGTGAGATGTGACTTCTCCAGTTTGTCAAGCCACCCCAAACGAGCTTCCTCCTGAAGAAGGAGATAGATATGGTCACGAGAGGGTTGCTGGGAAGGAGCCAGTTGTCCATGTAGTGGTAAGAACACAGTCCTAAGCCGTGAATATGACAAACAAAGGCTCTGACTACATGACAAAAGGTGTATGGAGCCAAAAGCAGACTGAATGGTAAATCATGGAATTGAAACATTCAAACCCCATCAACAAAACAAAGGTAACAGCTGGATGCAGGAGAAATAGGGATATGAAGGTAAGCATCCAAGATGTTGACCTTGGTCATACAAAAGATCTGGAGTGAATTACCATCTGAGGTTGAGAAACGACACCATGGTGAAACAATAGAGGTCAATGAAGCAGTTGAGGTTTGAGATATTGATAACTGGATGTGAATCCTCTGTTTTCTTGGTGACAATGAATGGATGGGAATAACATCCTAGATAAGAGAGGAACACCTGTTCAATAGCATCCTTCTGCAAGAGATCCAAGACTGCTAGCAAGAAAGTGGATCCCGTGGAGGATAGAAAGAAACAGAAATTGGAGATAATGGAAAAGGAGTGGAAAAATGAAGAATTAGACATTGTGCTAACACCTGAAGAACCCAACAATTTCTTTGCTCCACAGGGGCATGATTATCTTCTTCAGCTTTGTCCCTCCATACGTGGTTGCTTTGTTGTTAGGATCTCCTTGGTAGGGATGCCCTTTTGTCACATGAGCATTTGCCTGCTCCTTATCTGCATGACCTTCACCTAGCTCCTTTTCTGCACAAGTCAGTTTTTAGAGATGTCTCTGGTATTTTAGAGACTTGTGTGGAAGCAGGGTACCAACATTCCAATATTTCTTCTCTTGTTTGTTGTCTTTCACAATCCTCTCGTGTTTCTATTTGTTTCTCAACCTCCAGCATCCTCTCCTCTCCTGGTATCATGTTTCAGATACTAGTCATCAGATCACCCTTTGTTACTTTTTTAGACGTCAGTGTCATTGGTGACTACTCCTTGGGCTCTGGCTCAGTGGGGGCATGGTTGGCCAGATTTATTCAACTGTGGTATCCTTTTGCTGCAGGGGAATACATATCTGCAAAAAACCTCTCAGAGGAACAGTGGATAGTTTCAGAAAGAAGAGGAATAGACAAAAGGTAACAAGGAGAGTCATTGAAGGTATGACAAAAACCATGCCTGAAGCAGTGATTCCAAGATCTGAAAATCAAGAAAAAAAAACTCAGATCTATGGTAAGCCAAAGCATGAATATCCACCAAACATGGAGGCTTAGGCATGCTGGCACCAGTACGCAGTTGGGAAAAGAATTTATCAGCATGGACTCGTATATCTGGAGATGGAAGAAAAACTAAATAATCAGATGTCAGACCAGAATGACGAAAGGAGGGGAAGAATCATATGTTAACACAAAAATGTGATTTACTGAGCAAAAAATTTGTACAACTGCATTTGTTATTGCCAAATCAAGAAGTGATGATTGGGCTATACAGTATAGGAGGCAGCTGTCCTAGGAGAGTGTGTCACACTCCTATTAGTTGAGGGTTGTCACATGTTAATTTATATGCTACAATGCAGCTATACCACATGCAGATAGGTGATGCCAGATGGGAGCCTCACGGCTAGTGGTGAGTGAAAACTGTGCATATAGAAGGCAGCACAAATCAAGGAAAGCAGAGGTAAAGTATCATATCAGAAAGTTCTTTTATGACCCGTTATTATATTTCTGCACAAAATATACTCGATAAATAAATGATACATATCTGGATTTATACTTGATATATATTATTTCAATGAAACTACAGTGAATAATAGGAATGCTTTTATCCAGTGTTTATTATACATAATAAATCCAACAGAAATTAGCATTTTCAATGCCATCTATGCAGCATTGATTGTAACACATGATAACATGCAAGTAAGTTTGGGCAAATAGTTAAAAATATGGAGAAAAATGGTTTGCTCAAATTAAGTTGGACAAATATTTTTTGAAACATGAAAAACACCCAAGTTATCTAGGCAAATCATGGAAGGGATTAAACAAATAGGCACACACACACACATTCCAGGGACCTGTGGAATCAGCCTTCATCTCAAACATACTATTAGTGTTAAAATTCAATACTACTTCAATGCACAACCATCTATCACCCATGCTGGTTAAAGCAACAAATTATTCAAATTGAGGGCTGGATTAAGAAAAAGAAGGAAAAGTGCACCAAATAAACTATTAAATAATAATTTTTCCCTAACATTGCAAGAAGTTAATGCAATCACATTAAGGACCTGTATTCTGACCTTTATTGGGTAAATGAACTATTACTTAACAAAAAGGTAATGGAAGAGGCTGTTTTATTGTTGTGTACCAAACCACTTACAAAGAGTATTTATTTAATATACCAGAAAGATGTAGTCCTTAGTTTGTACACACAGGTTGCAAATACTATTAAGTTTACATGAGGAACAAGAAGACGGAATTCACAAAACAATACCTACATTTTACTTAATTCTTCAAAGCCAATAATAATTTAAAAAAACAGTTACTAAGTAGCTTGAAAAAGTAAGTAACATCAATGACATTTTAAGACTTAGTGTACTGTCACATATCTTACATTAGCATCTCCACATGTTAGTAAAGCTATAAAACATTTACAAGAAACTAACTTCATCACTTGGTTTCCCTAATTACATTGATACTTTACTTGTTTCAATCTTTACATCTTGAGATAAATTATGGCAGAAATGGACCTTGACTAATTGTGGAGTGTGTGTTGTCTTCAGGTTGACTAATAGACTGTAGGCATGGGATTTTGGTTCTGGCTTCCGCAAGCTAACTAACTAGCGTGGTCTAGTAATAACTTTTACACTATTTCTTTTTAATGTAAGCATTACTGGTTACCATATGATAAGTTTTTGTTTTACTGGATTAAATAGGTTCTTCCTGACGTGAAATGTAAGCTTTTGATTGTTCAGCCTACTCTCCTCTTGAAATAATTTAAGATGATGACTGTTTTTCAACTCATAAGTGTACTCTAGTAACTTTTCAAATACAAAACCAATCACCAAGTACTAATTTTAAAGTTAACATTTTCATTATCTGAATATATGTTTCAGAACAGATAACTTAAACCATGCACCACTGCCAAAACATTTTTTTGAACATGCACCATGCCTTTGAACAAAACTCTCACACCTACACATAATAATATGTACTGCACCAGTCTGTGGTACAACCAGCATTAAGCTATAGCCCTACAATAACAGGAGGGAGATGCACAAACCATGCACAGTACTCTCCCCTTGAAAACAGTGTATATACCAAAAGTTGAAGAATGGATGGTTTTGTGGAGAGATAAGTAGCATTTATGAAGAACAGGTAGCTAGAATCCCACATTGATAAGGCGGAATAGGAACCAGTGTAGATAAAGAAACTAAAAAGATGAACTCTTTCCTGAAAATATAGTGACAGAAAGGGAAAACTCATGAAATGTGTCATTCATTAGAGGTAGAGGAGAGACCTAGTAGGAGAATCATTCAATGAAAGACCATATCATTCTCAAACAAGGAATACTCTTTGCCTAATACAAGTGGTAATGTAGAAAGTTGGTGTCAAAAGTGCCGCCTGAATGGCGCTGAAGTGTCACAAAGGTAGACAGAATGTATAAATAAGTCAAGCCGTACAGTATGTGGGAAATATGTGATAAACTTAAAAGAATAACCAACTGCAGGGATGAATCATCACAAACCTGTATCCCAAAGAGAATGCAAGACTTATTCCGCTAATTACAACCATTAGGATTGATCTGGTTCTTAGTGTAGTGGGTGGCATGTACTACACCTCCAGATAGACACCCCTTCCCTAATTCAGATCAAAGGGTGCAGCTATTCAGTCTCATACCAGTGGAATTACACCAACCCAAAAGGGGGGCTCTCCATATTGGCCTCTCCAGTGACTTGGTACTGGGAAAGCAAAGGTTCTCCTGCTTCACTACAAAGAAAATGGGAGGGAAAACTTTGCATAGGGGAGAACACCACAGAAGTGTGTGATCTGACAGGAATTATCCATCATCTATAAAAGAAGTTTAAGAAAAGAATCAATGATTTTCTAAATAGTAAAGAGCAGGTTTAATTTTTTTATATTTTACAAAGGTGATTATGCATAGTTATCTATAAGTTATGTTAGAACAACTCGTGAAATCTCTACTCAACAACTTCTTAAAGCTTTGAAGTAACTTTCATTTCAGGTTAACAGCCCCTTGGATGCACAATCTATTACTAAAATCATTAGCTTGAAAATGCACTTTTAGACACATTGTTTGGTTCCTAACAATGAACTGTCTGTTCCAATGAGTTTGTGCACTGTTTATTCCTTCATTACTTCTTAACATAGTTACCTTGAAAGCAGCTCCACAAGTGTTTTGCATGTTAATTCTGTAATATCTATAAAACCTTGATCTTTCACTGTTACAATTTTTTTTATATAATGCATTCTGATATTATCATATTTTTTTCCTGCTACAAGAAAGGTGTTACCAAAACTTATGTAACTTCCATGGTACATTTTAGTTGATGAACAAGCATGTATCTACTTGATACATGAATAAATCAGAAAAAAATAATGACACAAAATTAAAACTATATACAACACATTTTCCACACAATAAACAAAGTGTCAATGAAATACACTGAAATTTAAAGAGACAACAAATTATGTGTCAGTAAACTACTTTTTGTTGTTTTGATACTTTATCTAATTTAAAGTAAAATAGTTTATGAAATAGAAATACTTACTTCAACCTCTCTATAATCTTGCATGCAAGACAATTCTCCTGCAAAAGATATCAAACTGTTTCTCAATGTCAAGTTGAAGTTTTCACTTTCAGCAAATTTTAAAATGCTTCTTGCTAAAACATCTCCCTTATGTCTGAGTTTTCCCATTGTCCTAGCATAACTTGCAAATTGAAAGCACAAGTCTCCCATTAATTTCTCTACCAAGTTAATTCTTTCTTGACTTAATCGACTTTGCCTGTCACTTTAAAAAAGACAATCAATAAGTTAATACCACCTTAAGAAATATTTAGATCATCACTGGTTATGCAGTATTTCATCAATCTAATAATACTAATAATATAAACCATCTCAACTTGAATTTTTCAAAATGTAAAGGGAATAGAAACAATTGATGCATCATATTTTTTAATATTAAATAGCAAGATTGGTAGGACCATAAAACAAAGAAAAAAATATTTGGAGGGTACAAGTCATCCACAAATTAGGCAATTTTATTTTATGAACAGAGTGGTTAGGTATTGGAGAGTTCAAGAGAGGTTTTGACAGGCACTTGGGTGTTTGATGAAATAAATAAGAAAGTCACAACTTGTCAAGGAACCCCTCATTGGACCTCAAATGTGTTATAAACTTGTTCAAATATATAAAGCCCTGGAAAAATTCAGACATCAACATAAACAAAATTTTCTGTTAGTGACCATAGAGCAAAATTAACTGTACTGTAATCTAACATTCTACTAACACCAGACCTCAATAAAAACTTTCAACTACTTACACTTTTTATATATCCCTTTTTCCTCATACAAAAAGCTAATAATAAAACCTACATATTTTAAAACATATGCTACCATAGTGTCTCAAGAATTCTTACAACTAACATGTTTTGTCTCATCAGCTGTTTACAGTTTTAGTAATTTAAAGAAATTTACCATAAAAGAAAGCTCACATAGATTCACTAAAAGAAAATCTTGCCTTACAAAGCCATTATCTTTTCTCAAGGATGTTGTTACCTGGCGATGGAAAGAGCACGGGCTTAAATTTTCAAAAAGCTTTTATATGGTGTCACATAAAAGATTCGCTAAGAAAATCATACTGATAAAGATTAGAGAAACACTAGTTGATTGGACTGTATGGTGGATGGTTGAGAAAAAGCAAAACATTGTAATTAATGGAGTCCAGTCAAACTACTTTTGTTATTAGTGGAATATCTTAGAGGTCGGTGCTTAGGCCTTTGCTTTTTTCTTTCTATTTACATTAATGATATTAATAGAGGCATAGTTAGTATGTTCATAAAGACATAAACTTTTGGTTATTCTTAGTTGTATTGAGGATGTTTAGATATTACAGAAAGACTTGGATGAACTGGTAAGTTGAACAAATATCTGCCAAATGACCTTTAATTATAATTAGTGCAGAGTAATGCATTTTGGTCAGCTTAATTTAGATCATGGATTTAATATGACAGGAACCACTCAATATATATATATAGCATGAGTGAAAAAAAAGGTTCTTGGCATAGTGGTACATTAATTTAGTCACTCAAGCAGTGCTCTGTTGCTAGTAGTAAAAGTAAATGGAATTTTGGGATGTATTTGTAGACATACTGATTACAAGTCAAAATGAGTTAATTTACTCTATACAAATTACTAGTTAGGCCTCACTTGGAATTCTGTTACAGTTTTGACATCCTTATCTAAGAAATGATATAAACTCAGAAAGGGTCTAGAGGAAAGCTACTAGGGTGCTTACTGGAGTGAGTTATCTTACAGGGATAAGTAATTACTTCATATTTTCCTTTAAGAAAAGATGGGTAAGAGATTATCTTATCAAAGTTCATAAGATTATCCTCAGATTTCTGTACTATATTCTTTATATACAATAGGATACAAGTTTAAGATTTGAAAAAAACTGGCTAGGTTCTAATTAAGATGATTTTTAATTTTCTGACAAGATGATTGACTTATATAATGAGTTGCTGCCAGCATTCATGGGAGTTGGCACTTTACAAGTTTGAAAGAGGAATCAGTAATTTCCTGTAAATATAAGAATGATATAAATAGTTACTTTACTCCAGGGTTCAAATCTGGCTTTAGAGAACCAAATGATCCCTTGTTGTCTATATGTAAATTTTCCATATTGCTCTAAAATATTACTTATTTTCCTTGTTTTATAAATCATAAATCTTCATGATATAATTCTATTTGTTTATGCTTTTTTTTCAAAGTAAAAATAACAAATCTTAGTAATTAACATGTTAATTTGGGTCCGATATTGCCTGGTGGTTAAGGTGCTCAACTTGCAATCTGCAAGGCATGAGTTCGAATCCCATCATCAAACATTACCTTTCAGCCATGGGGCATTATAATGTGATGTTGAGTCCGACTATTTGATTAGAGTAGTCCAAGAGTTTGCACTAAGTAATTTGGACTAGCTGTCTCTCTCTAATCTATTACTTCTAAATTTTGGACAACTAGAGTTGATAAACTTGGAGTAGCTTTATATGAAATTCAAAAAACAAGCATGTTAGGTTATCCATTGGCTTGACTTTTTGCAATATTTTTAACTTGTTACTTTAGTCTATGCTAACATACTATTAATATTTTAAACTGTCTTTGCTACTTTGTACTGTACTAAAATTATCTTTCAAAATATAACAAATACCATAACACAAAACAATATTCTTTCAAGTTCCATTTTATTCCCATTTCCAGTACTTTATTTAACAACTAGCTGGTGTACCCATTCCTTGGACAGAAATTACGTAAATTCATGATTAATGAAAGGTTATCTTAGGACATGAAAAGTTGCTTCCCTTATATACAATTACAAAAAACGCCCATAAAAACTGCAAGTTTGCATGTATCTCCACATGGACCCAACAAACCTTCATACCAAATTTGATGAAGATCCATTTACAGGGAAAGAAGTAGTGGTAAAAAAACGTTAAAATGCCCATAAAATCTGCAAAACTGAAAATTTATATGCACCCCTGCATGGACCTAATGAACTTCTATAACTTGGTAATTATCCATCTACACCCTGCGATGTACTTACATGGACATACAACAAATAGTACTATTATATTTATATAGATAGTTCTTGCCTTTAAAAATAAAATTAAAAGTTTGAATAAACCTAAAATCTTTTGTCTGTTCAAATATTCCGTTTATTTTAGTGCAAAGCCACACATCTTGCACACTGCAGGGAATCGAGCCCCGTATTTTTAGCACTGTAATTTACAAGTGTAAACAGTAATGTGCAAGTCCGTAACATAACCTCTGATCCACCGTATCACTTAGAATTAGATGTTAAAAATTTTAAACGAAAGTTGTACTTTATTTCAGTTTCAGCATCACTTTCTAATAATCTTTTTCTCAGAGGCCTAAAAGTAAACATTAACACGGTAAGACAGTACTTAATTATAATATTTTGGTATAGTACTACTAGATAGCCAAGGACTAACTACCTTGAATTTAAAAGATCTGATATAAAATCCATAGGCCTAATAAATGACGAGAACATATACTTCAATAGAAATAAAATACTATAAAAATTAATTTATTTTATATCAATAAATTTTCACTAGATCATTTTTAACACAAACCGAGAGAAATAATGGATATATTGTTATCTAACTGTATTTATTAGGCAGGTAATAGTTAACATGTTTGGCGAATTAACGTGAAAAAAATGTTTTTCTTTCACACTGTATCCGTGCTGTAAAGTGCAACCAATGACGACGACTAATGTTTCCAATAAAGATTTTTCAAATCCTAGAGCTGTGTATAAAACAATCGTGAAAAATCACTTAATAATCCTAAAATAAGTCTTGAAGCTACTATTGTTTATTAAAACATCTTTTTCGAGATATCTGAACATTTTCTCTGTTTTATTACTAGTAAAAACAATTAGGTTAATTTTTATCATCAAATACGAAAAATATATGAATTTAAATAATCTGATGAAAATTACAAAGTAGCATAAATAATACAAAATAACTGAATCATAAATACTACATTTAACTATACTGGTAATCTTAAAATTACTCCTGAAGTAACTTTAGTTTATTCCAACGGACTGTTTTGTTATTAGAAAATCCCATTTAGTTAATTTTTATGGTTATAAGCTATAATTTTAATGTTGTAATAGAGAACTCATAACGTTAAGATCGAAAATTTTAATAATGTGGGTCTAGAAAGTTCTAAGCAAATTATTATAAAGTTATCTAGTAAATTCGAGGAGTAGATTATGCTCACAAGAAGCAGTGAAGCATAGAATTGTTTCTAGTCAGTAGAGTAAATCAGTTAGAAAATCATTTTGTTTCAGCTAACGCTAATTAAAAATCAGTCCGTGTTTTGTTTTTAGTTATTTTATTGGCCAGTTGTTAAGTTGTTTAAGTAATTTCATTTTTACATTAATTTGTAACAGTTAACATGATCTACAAGTTACTACAGTATTCAAGCTTGTAAAAACATTAAGAAATAAATAAGCTAACCTCTAATTGTTACACAGACTAGATTCTGAATTATATTCACTAGGTAACTTAAAACCTGCCAACAAAAAGAACAACTCGAAAAGAAAAAACAGTGTTACAATATCATCATCAAATATAAAAAAAGAGAATTTAATGAACTGATAAAAATTCCAAAGTAGCATATTGTTACGTCTCCGTTCGTTAGTTAATTTTCCGTAAAAATTATTTCCGAAGAAACTTTACCGATACAAGTCCTTTCTTAAATGAAACTGGTTTATTCTTTCTGAATACAACTTTGCGATACACTTAATTTCAACAGTCGCGCTATAACAAACGCTATAATTCACAACGAACGTCTCACGTGCTCAATAATATTTTCTCTCC